CCCTAAGAATGTCTTAGAAAAATATCTTGAAGAATATCACTATACGAGTATCGAGGAGAATTTTAGCAGACTGGAATTCGTAAATTGCTTTAATGCATTGCTAAGATGCATTGAGAAGTATAAGTACACTTTTATTAATGAAAAATACTTTTCTTTACCTAACGATATATATATATAACTTACTTATCGATGTATATTTAATCTCTATAACGATACTATTTGAAAAAGGGGGAAAAATCGAACGAAACATTTTGTTTCACTTGCACGTGGGTCAAGGAAAGAGTTAAAATCGCACAACAGTGTAGCATAAATAATGATTGAATATGTGCCACGAGCTATTTCCTTTGGACAAACAAACAAACAAAAGGAAACGTGGAATCATTACATTCCTGGACAAATAGGGACGACGCGATTCCAATCCTCGGCAACAGTTCACAACCGATAGAAAGGAGATGCCGAGCGAATTGGAGGCGGCCAAACAAATGGGGTTGCGAACGATCGAGAGGCCCTCTTCGTTCGTCGAAGAAAGCAGGCAAAGAGTGGAGGAGAATGCGGAAAGAGCATCCTTCGTGTCGTACGAGGAACGTTATTAGCGCGAGCCTTCGCTTCTACAACCACCCAGTGACCTCATCCCCCTCTGTCGGCCTTTGTAACAGTTCAGAGGATGGCGAAAGAGGAGAAATTGAGAAAAACGGGGGGAGGAGGGGGGGATATATTATGCCGTAACCCTGCGAAACGTACGTTCGAACATTATGGACTTTTTTTTTTAATCATCTAAATTGGCACTGAGAAACAGTCTATTCATACTTTGATAAACGTAGCTGAAGAAATAGAAATTTCATCCATCGAGTATTTCACATATGTATTACAATATCTGTTCACTTTAGAATCCAACGGAGAAATAAAAAATTCTATGTACAATAATATTCTCAAAGTTTCGGAAAATTGTTGAAGTGCAGAGAAATTAAAAGAAAAAAAGAAAGAAAAAGAAAAAGTGTAAGTAATGATTGAAACGAGGTACATTCGCTTTGTGAAAAGATGAAATTCTACGCCCGATGTGTATAAAGATTTTTATAAAGCAATAAATATAGGGAGAACGAAAGAAACGAAGAAAAAAAGAAAAAGAGACACAGAAGTGTCAGTGTGTGACAAGAAGAAAGTAAAATCGCGAGTGGAAAGATGGGAAACGACGGGGCTGGATGGAGGAACGTAGAGCCCCGAAAGTTTCTAATCGAGAATGCTTAAGGGCAAAGCAAATACGCGAGGGGAGAAAAATGCCTGCCTTAGCCGGATCGAGATACGGTTACTGGCGGAAAGTGAAGAAATAGGTCGAGCAAATACATAAATAAAAGGAAAAGTAGCGAGATGAGCGTTGGAATTAAAGCGGGTTGGGATCGGCGGGAGGAGGCGAAGAAATACTTTCAACGTTGCAGAGATACTTCTCCTTCCTTCCGGCGATATTATTTTCCCCTTGAAGCGAGTGGAAATGAGTCACGAAGAGCGAGATCGCGACGTTGCGTCGAACGAGACGAGAAAGGAAAATTTAGAAAACCATCTGCCAATAGGGTAGAAAACTGGAGAAAAATTCAGAAAAATCGAGTCGATCGATCAAGCAAAGAATTCGAGGAATTTGTGGGACGATTCTGCGTCAATCGCTCCCGTTTGGAGTAAAAAATAAAACTGAAAACCACGCAATTAAGAAAAAAAAAAAAAAAAAAAAAATAAAATAATTCGAAGAATTTCAACTGAAAGGGAGAATGAAATTAAAATTCAAAAATCTATCCTATTGGCACATGGATCAGCAGATTACCCGGAGTAATCGAGAAACAAGAGAAGAATTACCTGGTACCGAGTGAACCGTTAGAAAGAGAAGATAGCTAGCAGAAAACGAAGGGCTGAGAGAAAACGGATAAGACGGAAGGGACGAGAGCAGACAACAAGGTTAACAGCGGATGGCGCAAGTATTCGAAGAATCGGCGGATGATCTAGCTCTGCGCTACTCTGGCAAACTCCTATCGTTGGTACTAATGCCATATATCCCCCTCCTCCTCCTCCTTCTATCCCCCGTCCCACCCCCTGGAGAAAGAGAAAAATCGTAGCGGAGAAAACGGTTCGAGGAAGAGGCAAAGAGACAGCGAGACACGAAGAGGGAAGTGTGTACCGAGGGACAGGAACCGGTGTTTGGTCGACGGGGGTTGGGCGAGGAGGGTTCGGTCGCCATGGCGACAAGCAACCCCCGGGACCCACGGAGCTCGTCGCCGGGGTTGGTCGAAAAGGGTGGCCCAGGGCGTCTGTCGGGCAGGTTAGGCCGGGCGTATAGCCCGAATGTCACTCGACACAAGGGGGACACAAGGATGTCCTGGACGCGAGCGAGACGAAACACCACATTGGTTCGGGAGCTGCGTGAGCGAGCGAGCGAGCGAGAGAGAGAGAGAGAGAGACAGGGAGAGAGAGAGAGAGAGAGAGGGCAGGGTGCGAAGGGTAGAGGAGAAACGACTACGTGGAGGTTGTGCGGGGTGGAGGAGAGGGGAGGGGAGATCGGAGCTCGGTACAGAGAGAGACTCCGAGCGGAGGAGAGAGTGCAGGCAGGCCAAGATGGCCGACGACGCGACACCCACCATGTCAATAACACCCTTCTTCGACGCAAAACCGAGCCAACCTCCCTCGTTTCGCCCCGAGAGAGTCACCCTCTCGTCGCCCACCCACGCCTCTCTCTCTCTCTCTCTCTTTTACCCATCCCTAGTTTCTAGCAGCTGCTTTTCCTTCCACGACCTTTCGTCAGCCAGCCAGCCAGCCAGCCAGCCAGCCAGCCAGCAAGCAGGCGCCTCGCTCTCCTCTCTGCCTGGACTATATTCACGGGAGGACGATGATGCGCTCTCTCGCCGCGATTTTCCCCGGCTTCTTGCCTCCGCTCGCGGTAATTAACGCGACGATCCCCTGCCACCAGAAAGGGAAACGGCTACGAAGGGTGGTAACAGAGAGAGAGAGAGAGAGAGAGAGAGAGAGAGAGAGAATTGAATTCTCTCAGAGAGAGAGAAGGGAATTCACCGACACAGGAAGGGAAAGCTCGTAGAGGCCATTGCTAGCGAGGGCGTAATTCCGTTAAGTGTCTTCGTAAACTTCGTTAGCTGCATTTCCCGACATTACCCACCCCAGTGCGCGTTTCTACGCACCCTGCGCGCTCGCTACCCGCGCCCTGCTACGTGTTCCAAGCAGCGTTCGATGCGTCTCCGGCAAAGCGAGCGAGCGAGCAGTGAAAGTGCGAATAACTCTTCTTTTTTTTTGGGGGAGGTTTCTATTTCGTTTTTCTCCCTTTTTTTTCTTTTCCTTTTTTTTCTTTTTTTTTTTTTCTTTGCTGAATGTTAACTAGACACGAACGTTTACCGTTCGGAGAAACTTGCCGAAAAGGAGATTTCTGACGAAACGTACGAACTTCTCAGAAGTCGTCACCCACGCGAATATGAAACGCAGACAGAAACTATTGTGAAGGGAATGCGTTTAAAAGTTCAAATTACCAGGAAAAAGAAAAATGGTACATTTCCAAAGGTCCAAAGTGGTTTATCGAACTGCCAAAGAAAGACAGTTGAAAGGAAAAACTAGAAATATCGGCAGAGGGGGGGAGTGGATTGATTTTTATTGACCGGATCAATTAAACGACATGTTTTAATGACATCGTACGGCCCGGCGGTGTAGCCAATGGCGATTGTTTTTGACAACTTCGGGGCCACGAGGCATTAAACACGGTATCAAACGATCGCATTAACGATCCCGTTTGTGCCCGGCTTGAGCCCCCTTAGGACGTTCGATTTGCAATTCGTGTCATAATTAACGATCACCATTATCATACGTAGTCGTTGGAAATGAAACTACAATCGGATTCGCAACATTAATATGCGTTACATATCGGCGGAATTAATAACCGCGCACGATATTCATTACATCTCTGCCGTGCCGTGCATCAACATCACTTAACATTCTAATTTAACAATAAAACCATTTGATCCCCGCGTGTCCCGCGTTCCCGTGCAATTTTCGAATTGCCGATCGCGAAGCGCGTCTGTTACCACCCCGCTGGAAATGAACCTGCCGCGGACCTAAACAATTTCGATTACGCGAGCACGCGGTTTATTTCCCATTAAAATCGCTGTTTACGTTTAAACAGCGTCGCCCCCTGGTCGCGATACACGCGAAATTATCGTTTTTTATCGTTTCGCCGCGTATGAAATTACAGGCAATTATTCGGGAATAATTTTCCATTCACGGAGGAACATTTCAGGATATGTCAGACCGACTGTTCAAACTCTTGCGAGCCATCGCGTTCGTGAAGGATTCACGTGCGTCCAGTATGATTTTTATTAATTTGTACAACAGTAAGTAACAGTATGATTTTTTTCGTAATTTCATCGATTAACTTTTCTCGTCGAATCACGAGTAAAGCTCAACGAATCAAAAAATTTCGATTCTCGTCGAATTCCAAACTTTTTGATAATAAGAACTTGGATGTGGAAACAACTCGATAATTAGTTATTTTTCTATCTTATTTTCATCGTAACTGAGAGTCGATCGTTTTTCTTCAATTCCTGCCGAAGGAACGAAAAAAGAAAGGGGATGAAAGAAATATTCTTCGTTTGAGAAAAAAAAAAGAAAACTATTTTCACGGCAGAGCCAACACACAGTCTGCGCGAGAAACTCGCATTGAAGCAAAAGTTCCTGTTTTCTCGCTGCCGAGATAATCAATGCCGGGCAAAGGGCTTTCCCTTTTGAAAAACCGGCCGCGCGAGAGAAAAGCAGATGTTGCAAAATCGCTACGGGTCTATTAAATATAATAACCGGCGAGGGTTTTCATGCTCGAACGAGCTGGAATATGGTTGCGTAATATTCGCTCCTCCGGTATCGGGCCCGGCACAATGGAGGCAACAGAGGCTACAGAAGAAAGAGAACACTTCCCGTCACGAACTGTTACGAAATATTTTCGGCTAGATGAACATAGATCGACTTACGCGAGGAATCCTCGTGGATGAATCGGCCCACGGACATTTCCAGTTTCTCTCTCTCCCTCTGCACGTCGGCTGAAACATAAAAAAAAAAGAAAAAACAACGATCATGTCGAACATATCAAACGTTTGAAACACATTTCTTATATCGCGTGTTACTAACGAGATAAAATAAATAACTATCTAATTATAATCTTACCACGGATAAATAGAAAAATGGAAACTCGTATTTTCCGAACGAATTATACAGCAACAACGAACCTACAACGTCTGGATAAACGTGGTTGCTAACGTTGGAACGCAAAACAAAAGGGGTGCTTATATCGTTAACGAAACGTTCAGTTCGAGGACCGAGATCCCCAAGTGCTGGCCGCTCTGTCGCGAGTCAGGCAGCGGCGACATGTGCCCCCGAGAAAGAAAGATAGATCGGAACCGCAGATTACGATCGTTCGAAGGTGATTTCACTCGAGACGCTAACACGCGTTTCCCGGTAGCATCCATCACGTGGCACGCATCGACTATATACACAGACAGACCGAATCCAGGGTCCAAGAGCTGGCAAAGGGTAGCAGAGTGGAACGAAAGAGCGAATACTAGCTACTACTATAGAGAGAAACCGAAGAAGAAGAAGAAGAAGAAGAAGAAGACGAAGAAGAAGAAGAAGAAGAAGAAGGGAGTTGGAGTTGTTGAATCGAGTAGTAGGAGGCAAAAGAAAATATCCCAGGGCAGGGCACACACGGGGCACAGCCTCTGAAAAGATCTCCGCTAATGGGCATTATATTTTTCGTTATAGGAGAGCCGACGGGATTATGGGCCTGTCAGAGGTCTAATAACTGGTCCCTGGTGGGCCACCTAGCATCTGATACGGGGAAACGGGGGCCCTTCTCTTTATACAATGTGCGCATTAAAAACACTAATCGCAATGCGCACGAGCACGATCGCGTATTGTACTAGCGCATGGGATCATCAAAGGCCGCCGACCAAAGACCGGGGGAAAAGCTTTTGCACGCTGGCTCTCTCTCTCTTCCTCTCTGTCTCGTCTTTTTTTCGTCTTACTCTTTCACTTAGGCCGACCTCGTGAGACTTCTTCCAGGCCCCGGCGAAGAGTTTCGTTTCTATCGCCGCCCACTCTTTCGCCTTTTGTGACCCCCCCTTCACCCGCCGCCTTTTGCCTCGCGTCGCGCGGGATTAATTTTATTTCTTCCTTCCGCGAGAACTCGCCAGCTTCGGTAGTACTGCCGCAAGCTACGATCGCCTACTTTCACCCTTTTCTTCCCCCTCCCCCCTCCCCTCTTCTTTTTTAATTTCGTTTTTTAAGCCTCCCTTAGCACGATCACTTGAATAATCTGTGACTCTGCTTTCACGGAAGAAGACGAGATCGGGAGAATAGAATAGAATAAGTTTCGCTTTACCTTTACGCCTTCTCAATAACTAGTCCATTATTAGAAAGAAACTCTAGACAAGAATTGATCGAGTAATTTATCTGTACGTCGTTCTATATTGACGAGTTGAATAAAATTGCGCAACTCCGAACAAATCGTACTTTGTGTACACGAATCGAGTAATAGAAAATGAGTCGCTGGTCGCTTCGAAGAGATCGTCTTAAATCCTCTGAGTCATCGAAACGACGAGCACGTAACGATCAGAGTAGAAGGGATGATAAATCGAGTAGCTGACTTCATTTCTTTTTTTTTCTTTATTTTCGTTTTATTGTTCCCCGGGAGCAATGGGTGCTATAGGCTTCGGTTTTTTTGTTGATCGTAGGGGGAGGATTGAGTGAAAGGGTTGGACAGACTGGAATGACTATCGGGAGAGATTATTGATGGACGATGATTTCGAACGACGAATATGAGAATTTCGCACGAAACGCGGGTACACACTCTGACTGAGAGGAGATGCTGGAAATTTCATATAAAAAGACAAGAGCCAAGGATTTTTTCCTCCCGGTTGTATCCCGATTAAATAGATTCGAACGGTGACGAAATGTAAATGGTAAAATGATTTAACGCTTTAACTGGTTAACCTGAATTATTGGCAACGTTTTATTAACTAGCGAGCTGACGGCGCGGTAATTCCTGATGAATTTGTAATCGGAGTCGAGTGTTAATCAGTTTTGACAATTTCGTTCGGGAATTAATTGCGTGCACGCGACTTCAAAAGTGCGTCCGATATTCGGGCTCGTATTGATACGAGCGAGCACGGCCCGATTTAATGCAAAAAACAAACACTTTAATGAGACTTATTAACATCGATCTCGTCGGAACGTGATACATGGAAATATTTGTAATTCAATTGTGGCAAAAGGTGAATAACATTCTTCTCGGAATTCACTTCAATTTTCCGACGATTGCATTATTCAATGTCCTTGTGTATCTTGCAATTTCTAAAATGGGGCACGTTCTAAAAATTTCACGGTCTTTTGGGTTTCACACATTTTATTTGCAATCTTTCTCTACTCTACCACAATTCTCATTAAAATTTCACTTAGAAGAGAATCGAATGTTTACAATTCTAATGAAATAATTTTTAAATCATGGCTTACGTGTCAATACATTCTTTTAAATACTTTAATGGGATAATCGATTTTATCCTACTAGACATTCTTTTAAATACTTTAATGGAATAATCAAACTAGCCTACTAGATATTGTGTACAAAATAACATTTCCTATATTTTCGAATATCACGTACATCTCCTATCTCTTTGCCCAAATTTCAATGGAAATTTTATACATGTTCACACCACTCGAGTGATTTTTTTATTAATAGAAGTTCGTGTTCTTTATTTTACTATTATTAACTTTTTCTTGTTCCTCCGCAACAAACATTACACTTGCAGTCGTCGGTTTGGTTCTAGCTTTCCTACAACTAAATCATCATTCGCAAATTCCTTCGTCGCAATTACAGATTAGTTAAAAACTCGAAAAGAGGGGGAGGAAAAAAATCGCGAATCAAAAACCGGCAGTCGGATCGGTCGAAGAGGGGGATCGGCCATTTTCCCGCGATCGAGCCGGCCCCTCTAGCGTGCCGACAATTTCCTCCATCGTTTCGGGAAGGGGTTGCGGGTCTCCTGGAAGAAGGGCGAAGGGGGGTTTAGCGGTGACGCGCTGACGGTGGAGGGTCGCTGATACGGAATTTCAAGCCCGCGGGGACGGCCAGCGAGATATCCGAGGATATTATCCCTCGGGAAGCCGTGTAATGAAACCGTTCCGGCGCCCCCGTGCTATTATATCCCCCCTGGCAATATAAGCCGGACAAGGATATAGGTGGCTGATACGTGGCGCAACCGGCCTGCACCCCGCCACGCCCTTCCCCCCTTTTATATCTTCGCCCATCGCGAACCCTCAACCCTCGACACCCCAACAGCCAACACAGCCAGCCAGCCAGCCAGCCAGCCCAAGCTCGCCTTTCGCGGATAAACGGAGGCGCAAGATAGGCGAGCCGCGTCAGCGGAATAACGCGACGTCATCGTCATTGCCGAGGAGGGTCCGCGTAATTGCCTGACCGTTCCAAGAACCGAGCAGCAGCCACCGCCCGCCATCTCGCCAGCGCAACCCTTTCGCCAAAGGGGTGGCGACCGGCCGAGACACTTTAGACGACGAGGATGGTAATACCTGGTGGGGTAAATGAGAAATTCTTTCGAGATTTTTATCTGAGATTATATCCCTGCTAGGCTATCTCCTGTTGGCCTTTTCTCCGGCACATAATAATGGTCTTTCTACCCGTTTTCTTTTCTTTTTCTTTTTTCTTAAATAGGGGTTGTTTTAATAATTATTGTACAGCTTAGAAGAAGGTCGTTTATATCGATCGACTTCGTGAATTTAAAAAGTAGGGAAGGATTGTTTCGTCAAGGAGATGAAACAGGGAACGAGACGCTTTAACCTCTTGCGCTGGAGTGAAGTGCCACGCACGTCGAGGATCTTTTGTCCTAAAATTGCAATATTTTTCTCAGTTTTGAGTATACACCGAAATATAAACGAGGCGAAACAAATAATAAATTTATTACTTCTTAGTGATTTCTAGCCAGTGATACCGTGCCGACGAGTTCGAAAAGAAAGCGACGAATTGTTGTATACGGCTGGGTCATTCGTTATGGTCCGCAATCGGTTGCCAGCGCAAGTGACTAATATATATTAGATGGGATGTTCTTTGGAGACTTTTTTTTTATACTAGATGGGATGTTCTTTTGGAGACTTTGGAGACTTTATAATGAGTAATATGTGAAAATAATGGCACCAAAGATGTTATAATTTCGATTTGACATCAATCAATCAAAGCAGCGAGTAACGAGAATATGGCGGTTCGCGTAGACTGGACGTTTCCACTTACGTGTCCGTACACGTGACAATTAAGAAACTGAATGGAATGACAAACCCCAAGAAATTAGTTACTCGTTCTTACCCGTTTAATACAAATTAAAACCGACTACTGAAACTTGCAAAGCTGAATTTTCCTCGCGTACTTAGCAAAAGTACAAATTTAACCCGACTAACACCGACAAATTTCATTTAACCAACCAGGAGAATTCAACAAATTCATCGAGAAAACGAGGGTAAAATCAGGTACAAGCAAGTTGATTTTTTAATCACAATAAACGTCTTTGAAACCATTTCGCTGGGACGCGTTAGGTCATTACGCCGTTGCCATTCGGAATTCGTCTCGCGAACGATAACGAGCTCGACTGCGCGGCGAGAGGATTATCTAGCGTTTTTTTTTTTTCTTTTTTTTCCTCGCTTTTCCACCCTCCTCGTTTATCTCGCCGACGAACGAGCGCAATAAGGGCGCGGGCTCTAGCAATTACACCATTTTTTGTCTGCCTTGACCTTCGCGGAAATTAAGCCGCCGCGGCGAAAAATAATTCGCCGGCGAGCAAACATTCCCGACCCGTCGATTTTTTTTCCCCTCGGCGTGTCCCCGTGTTTATTCTGTTTACGGTAATTAAATGTTTGCTTCCGGGGGCCGGCGTTTCGCCGAAACGAAACGGGACGGTGTCGCGCGGCGCGATTAGTCGCAATTAAAGAGTCCGCGAACGCGTTGAATCGTCCTCTTATTGTCTCCGCGTGTGTCCAACGTTGCCTTTCGAGCTGCGAAAGCATTTTTTTTTCACGCTACA